GGGCCTGATTTCCAGTGTGCCCAGTTTGCTTTGCTACTTAAAATTTTCCCAAGTTAGGGTAGTACAAGATCCTCTTTTTCTGAAGAACCCCAATGCCTGTCTCACATTTTGCTCCCTGATTTCTGGTCTCTAATGTGATATGTAGCATCAATTTTCAGGTGGTCATAGACCCAGGTAATTTGCATTTTTCTTGTCCTCTCTAAAAGGTTGGCTGGTTTTTTTTTTCCTCAAGAGCTCTCTGTATGGAATTCTCCCAACAGGGCTTATGTGGGGCTGCTTTCTCCTCTGCCCAGTTTGTGGATTGTCACACACCTCCCATGATCCCAACAACCTTTATTCTCCTTGGCCTGTGATCTGTCACAGGCATGTGCTGAGAGCTGATTCCCATCTCTGCTCAGGTGGATCAGTGATTGCTCTGTAACTGGCTCAAGCCACGGGGCTGGAGATGTTGGATTGCTTTGATAAGGTGCCAAAGTGACATTCTGATATCTGAGCCAAAGCACTGAGTAAATGCTTTTCCCATCTCCTGCCATGGTAGTCTCCCAAATCCCCGAAGAAGGAACTTATTCCTATTACTCAGCCACTTTCTAGCAGGAATTATCTGCCTGAGCAGAAGAGAGTTTGCTTTCTTTGTGTTTCTTAGGCTCTCGCTCCCCGTAGAGGGAAGTATAAAACTCCTTCCAGGTGACATTTGCAGAAAAAAAAAAAAAATCAATTGTTTATCAACATCCCAGCAATCAATAAATGCAGTGATAGGTGCAACTGTCTCTCTCAGAGCTGAACCTTGATTGCTAAGGAGCCACATTTGCTGCCAAAGCCACCTGGGCCTGAGGCTTGGCGGTGTCTGTGGGGCCAAAGCCTGGAGCTGATCTTTGGAGGAGCAGAGTTGCCTTGTTCTGTCCTGAGCCCTTCCCCTCCTCGGGATGGTGCTGATCGGTGCTCTGGGCTCATTGTCCCCGCTCTGTCAGTCTCTGCAGATTGACAGAGCTCTGGAGATGTTCCCACAGGGGTCACTCAGCAGCCAGGGAGTGTCTGGGCACCAAGACACAGCGCAGAGATGACCCCCAGAGCGAGTTGTTTGTCCTCACCCCTATTTAGAAGTCCGAATTGTCTGTTTTGTCCACCTTCACCAAGCCCCTGGAGTCCCCTCTGTCTTTCTGAAGAACCCCAGTGCCTGTATTACAGCTTGTTCCCTGATTCTCTTGGCATCCTGAGCTTGCTGCTGGAGGTAGGCATGGAGGAGGAACACGTGGGGGGGATTGATGGGGTGGGGATTGATGAACTTACTTCCAGCTGCACTGGTGAAAAGGCCAGGTTGGACAGGGCTTGGAGCAACCTGGGCTGGTGGGAGGTGTCCCTGCCCATGGCAGGGGGTGGCACTGGATGGACTTTAAGGTCCCTTCCAACCCGAACCATTCCATGATTCTATGGTTGGCATCTCCAGACATCCATCTTCTTCCTGCCTCTCCTCAGCTGCTGCTGGTCCCTCTGCCTGGGACACCTGCAGGATTCCACTCTTGCTTTAAGCTGTTGAGTCTCATTAAATGAGGCAACTTGAAGATGTCCCTCTTTGCACAGGCTTCCTGAGCCTGAGCTTTCCCAGAGCCAGAATTTTTCCTGAGCCAGACCTCAAGGAGCATTTGGACAATGCTCTCAAGCACATGATGGGATTATTGGGTGTCTGTGCAGGCCCAGGAGTTGGACTGGATGATCCTTGTGGGTTCCTTCCAACTCAGGAGAGATTCCATGATCTAACTTTGAGGTCTCCACATGGCCCAGATACCCCCTCCCAAAGAAATAGGGGTAGGAATGGAAGAGTTAACACCAGCAGCTCCCAAACACGCTGGAGAGTTACATCATGTTGCTGTGGAAACTAACTTTGTGAAACCACAGTGATGTATGGGAAAGCTTTGGGTCAGCGGGTAATAAATTCTGTTTAAAAAGTGATTTTTTCCCCATCTGCTGATGTAAACATCATTAGGAGAAATGACGGCTGAGAGATGGATTTCTTTTTCTATCAATTTTCAGACAAAGAAAATAATTTTGGGGTTTTTTTTCTTTTATAATAAAAAAGTTGCTGGAAATCAGAGAGTGCTATAAATAATGAAATAAAGAAAAAGCACCGGTGATGGAACAGAAATTTTCCCCGGTGATTGGTTTACAGCTTCCTGTGATTTAATGGGAATGTGTAGTTGCCTGTGGGAAGCTGCACAAAGCCCTGGATGGGCCCTGTAAGCTGATGCTTTGTAAACTGTAGCACAAATCTCAAACTTTTGAGGGCTCCAGAGCATCCTTGGCCTACAAGTCCTCTCTCATCTGCATTTTCCTGGCCTGCCTGTTGCAAGTGAGGGGTAAGTTGCCAACCTGCCATGTCACCTTTGGGATTCTCACCGAGGTGTGGGGGTTTTTGGGGTTATTTTTCACCCTTAGGGCCCCAGGAGGTTCTGGAGGGAGGCAGTAAAAGTCTCTCAGTTTGCCCAAAGCAGTGTGACAGTCCCAGCTAACAGCAAGTGTGCCACTGGGAATGCAGACAAAGGTGTCACCATGATTAATGGGGTAATTAATAAGCAATTAATGTGCTTCAGAGCATGGCTGTAGCTTTTCTCCCAGCCACCCACTCAGCACTGATCCACTTTCTCTGACGCTCAGAGGGCTGGTGGAGATGATCCTCCCTGATCTCCTCCTCGGTGCCACCACGAGCCCCCAGTGCAGCTCTGCCTGGGCACGGCAGGGAGTCTGCTTTGGAGGGAATTTGAGGGGGTTGTTTCACTTATTGGTGGGATTTAAAGTGGATTGTTCTAGGAACGAGTGCTCTGAAATGTCCTCCTTTGGCAGCTTCTCCATTCACATCCCCCAAGCTGTCTGAAAGTTGGCCCATGTGCAGATACCCCACCTGGCATCACCAATTCCCATTTCCCTGACCTACAGTGTTATTCCAAGCTCGTCCTTCTGCCTCTTTCCTCTCCTGGCTCGGCCTGCATTTTTCCATGCCCTCCAACACCCCCCCGGTTCTCCATCCAGCCCGGGTGGGTTCTCTCAGCTACGTTGAAGCCCATCCAGGTGTTACGCTGAGTTCAGAGCTGAGCCAGAAGTGCATTTCCCATTATGGAGTTTAATTTAAATGTACTTTTTGTTTTGAAATGTCCCTGTGAAACCATTAAAAATTGTTTACATCTTTTGAGTCGATTCTGGCATTTCAAAGCAATTGGAAGGTAAGAGAAACTTCTAAGCGAAAAGTTGTTTTAGAATTAAAATCAAGGTTTTCTGTGCCCTCCAAATAATGAAACATGATGTTTTGATGTTGTCAAAACACTCGGGTCATTGTTTTGTCTGGAAACAAGGCTGTGTTGGTATTGACACGCCCAGGTGAGTTGTTCCTTTTGCAAGAAATCAACATTCTGATGGAAAATCCCCAAGGAGCTCAGAGAGGAGCAGCCAAACCCTGCTCACTTGTGTATAATACCATCCCTTTCACTCCTCAGCCTCAAGGCTTGTGCTCGAGGAGGAATCCCAAAGGTTCGTAATTAATTGGCGTAGCTAATTCATGGATGGAGTGGGAATAGGATGGTAAAACAGTAATAATCCTCAGTGTTTGTGAGTGATGGAGCAGCCACAGAGGGCACCCATGGTTTGCTGAAGAACCCAGGTGTCTTAGAGGACATGAATGTTATAATGAAGTGTAAAAAAAAAATAAATGGATCTGATAACAAATGGTGACCGGGTCAAAAAGAGGCAGAAGGTTCCACAGCTTGGGAGATTTTGCACCTTGTTGTAGACTAATGGAAATGAGAGGAGAAACCTCCCTTTTAGAAGGAAAAGGAGCGGAAAAGGGAGGTGAGGGATTGCAAGAAAGCCCTTCCCCTGGAGGCCAGCACAGGTGTGTCCTCTGAGCTCGGTGTTTGGGGATTTGAAGTGCTTTAGGTTGTCTCTGTTTATGAAGAGCAGCTCCATCCCTGGGGAGCTGCCTGTGCACCACTCCAGTGGCTGGGCCTCGGCACTCCCCATCCCTCTAGGAGAGGTTCTGGCTCAGGAGAACGCTCCTCTCAAGTGCTCAGTTGGCTGCAGGTTGGACATGGTCCCCAGTGTGAAGAGCAGGATGACTCAGGACCGTGGTGCTGCTCTTGCCCAGTGCTGGGGTGGCTCCTTCCTCACGGCATCTCTGTTTGCACCTCCAGAGTGGGGTTATCCCCGAGCCCCAGGAGGTTCTCCCCAAGCTGCCTGCACTTTTAAGTGCATCCATAATTTTCTCCAGCCCAGCCTGGCACGTGGGTATTTGAGAGCCCACTGCCTCTGTGCCAGCACAGCTTGTCTGCTGTAACCAACCCAGCCATGGCATCACTTGCTGCTCCTCCAATATTTGTGTCAACTGTGATCTTTCCTGGCAGCAAACTCATGTTTTCTCTTCCAGATCGTGGAGAAAATCCTCCAGCAGCCCCCAGCTGAGAGCAGAGCTGTCCCTGCACAGCCCTGCTGGAGGAGAAGCTCAACAAGACATGGCCATGGCTGCTGGGACCCAGAACCCCCCCGTGTGCTGGGCTGTGCCCAGGGAAGGGTGGGCAACAGGTGAGGGGGGACTGTGCCCTTCTGCCCTGCTCAGGTGAGACCCCACCTGCAGAGCTGCCTCCAGCCCTGGGGAACAACATCAGGAGGACATGGAGTAAGTCCAGAGGCAGCCATGGAGATGCTCCAAGGGCTGGAGCCCCTCTGCTCTGGAGACAGGCTGGGAAAGCTGGAGACCTTAGAGCTCCTTCCAGGGCCTAAAGGGGCTTCAAGAGAGCTGGAGGGGGACTTTGGACAAGGGCCTGGAGTGACAGGACAAGGGGGAATGGCTTCCCACTGCCAGAGGGCAGGGCTAGATGGGATATTGGGAAGAAATTGTTCCCTGGGAGGGTGGGGAGGCCCTGGCACAGGTTGCCCAGAGAAGCTGTGGCTGCCCCTGGATCCCTGGAAGTGTCCAAGGCCAGGTTGGACAGCGCTTGGAGCAACCTGGGCTAGTGGGAGGTGTCCCTGCCTGTGGCAGGGGGTGGGATTAGATGAGCTTTAGTGTCCCTTCCAACCCAAAGCATTCCATGATTCATTTTATGAACCCTGCTTTCGCTCCTGGCTCCCTGCAGAGTGAGATTTCCTCTCTTTTGGAAGGGTCAAGATTTCAAGTCAAGGCCCTCAATTCACTGACCTCTGTTTTGTCCATCCAGCAGAATTCCAGGCCGTGTGGTGGGGAGATGATTCGAGCTGTGGTTTTGGGATGACAGCAGTGCCAAGGGGACGAATGATCTTTCTGTCAGTGCAGTGGAGGCCACTGTGCACTATTGATTTATTTTTATTTTTTTTTTGTTTGCTTAGCAGAAGACTCCATTCAAAGCAGTGTTAAAATACTCTTTAAATATTAATGCTTTTTCCCACTGCTTTCCCTCTCTGCCCCCATCTCTTGTTTTGCCTGTGCTGCTGGACAGCTGGAGGATATTCCCACCAAATGATTAGCAGGTCCAGGATGGTGCATAAAACACTCAGCAGTGCCCCTTTACCAGGCAAGCAACTTGACATTTATTGCTAGTGCTGAAAGCATCTACAAACAGAGATTTAGCATCAGCCTCCAGGCTTAAGATACAGCTGTTATATTTTCCTTTCTCCCTTTATCTTTTTTTTTCCCTCTCCTTTTGCACTAATGTAATGCTTATTTAGGAACTGCAGCCATCTGTGGCTGCTGTGGATGGCACTGTTAAAGTTGCTATTGCTTTCTTTCCCCTGGTTTGATGAGCCTCCCAGTGCACAGAGAATTTCCCAGGACAGCAGAGACTTTCTTTGATTGCTTTATTTGTATAATTTTTTTTTTTTATAACCGTTGAAAGAGATGGTTCACAGTGCTGGGAAAAGGTGGTCAGCTGGAGAGCTAAGGATCCTGCCTTGTGCTGGGTTAACAAGGTGAGTTTATGAAGAACCAGCCATAAAAAAACTTGGTGGAATTAGAAGGGATCATGAATAAAAAGGGAGGGAAGGAGGAAGGGCTGGGACTGGAGCTCTTCCTGTTCCTCCCACCAGCTCCTGGTTGATGGTGAGATGGATCACGTGGGAATTGGGGCAGTTGCAGCAATCCAGGGAATTTTTTTAGTGTTTTTTTTCCAGTGAAATGATCCTGTGCCCCTGGATGGACAGGGAGCTGTCCCAAGCTGGAAATCACGGCACAACAAGGACAAGGTGTGGCACTGCCAGCAGGAACTCAGATATTTCTGTTGGAGAGGCAGAAGTTGATTCCTTCTTGTTTTGTCACCAAGTTGCTTTCAAATGGCTCATGTTCACCCTGGCGAGGAAAGGTAAATTTGAACAATAGCTGCAAAAAAGAAGGAAAAATATCTCTCTTTCGGCCAAACCTTGTAGAGAGAGCTGCTCTGGATGGACTCCCCAGTCCTACACGTTATTCACCTTTTAATCCCCCTCTCTTTGATTTTGATAGGTGTTTTCTCTGTCACCTGCTCCTTTAAACTCTCCTTCATGGGAACCATAACTCCTCTTTGCTCCTCTACCCCGTGGATTGCCCTCTGGATGGGAAAGTAAATAACAAATTTATCTGAAAATACTTTTCCATCCTATGGAGAATCACAGGGTCCAGGAATTAGGTGGTGGAGGTGCTGCTTTGTGGTATAGAGGGACTAAGATGGGTTGTGTTTGACCATATACCCTTTGGCTGCACCTTTTTGGGTAGCCAGGACTGTTCCATACTCCTCCTCCAAAGCATCACTCAGAATCCCAGAATGTGCTGAGCTGGCAAAGGACCCACATGAATCATCCAGTCCAACCCTCAGCCCTGCACAGGAACATCCCCCAGAGTCACCCCCTGTGCCCCAGAGGATCAGCCAAACCCTCCTGGAGCTCTGGCAGCCTTGGGGCTGTGCCCACTGCCCTGGGGAGCCTGGGCAGTGCCCAACCACCCTCTGGGGGAAGAACCTTTCCCTGAGATCCAACCTGAGCCTGCCCTGACACAGCTCCAGCCCTTCCCTGGGTGCTGTCCCTGGTCCCCCCAGAGCAGAGCTCAGTCCCTGCCCCTCCTCTGCCCCTGCCCAGGCAGTTGGAACTGCACTGAGGTCTCCCCTCAGTCTCCTCTGCTCCAGCTGAACACACCAAGTGCCCTGTGGCTGCAGGCTCTTTGAGTTGGCTTTGCTGTCTCCCAGGATGGGATGAGGTGTTGTTCTGAGTGGTGATAACTTGCCTGTTCAAGGCCATGGCAGGGACTGCTGCAGGCAGGAGATGGTGGAGCTGCTCAAGTTCCAGATGTCAGGAAAGTCACTTTAGCTCCCCAGGAGGTCTGAAGGTCCCTGTGCCTCAAGTCACAGACACACAGGACACTCCTGAGCTGCTACCAAGACTGATACCTCTCCATCCTTCAAATCCAGGCAGGCAGGAGCACATGATCCTGCCTTGCCTGCTCGGAACCAGTCCCTGGGATGTGCCAGCATCCTGTGGAGCCACGGGCACGCTGGGCTCCCCGAGCTGGCAGTGAGGATTAGTACCTGCAGTGCTGAAGGCACCCCCTCCCCACTTACTCCTGAGGACCTGGCAATGTGGCTTTGCAGCTGTCAGCATGATGAATGGATGTTATGTTTTATTTGCTGCTTTATCACATACTAATTATGTATATGATAATTCTGAGCATCACCGTTACTTTTGGCTCACTTTTTTTTCACTCTCTAGAGCCAGAACAGGGGGGTATTTCTATCTCCTTCACTCCCATTCTTGAAATTCTGCTTTAATTGCTTCTCTTTGGCTCTTGCTTAAGGTTTCCTGCTCCGAAGGGGTCAGTGTATTGATCCTGCACTTTGATAAGGTCAGCAGAGATCAGCTGTGACATTTCCAAGCCATTTGCTCCTCCCCTAATGGGCTTAGTCATCAAAGAGTTTTACAGGGGACAGGGCAGGGGAGAGATTGAATTTAAACTCTTACATATGTTTATTTAGGCAGTCCTGGAAGGTTCTAAATAGAGGTATCACTTGACAGGCCAAAGCATGTGATGTCCAGGTTATGAACTCCATGTGTGGTACCGACCATTGTAACCAAACCTCGTGGAACCTCCGTGTGACCCACGGCACTGGGGACTGGGGGAGGTGGCACTGACTGAGCCCAAAGGGCACAGAAAAAGTGACCCCCCCACTCCTGGCACATCCACAAACCCTGGCTGTGCCTCCAGCCACAGCCAATCTCTGGCAATTGAGAGGAAGGTGAGGAGATTAAAGAAAAGAAACAGCGAGCAACATCTGTCCGGCCAAATGAGCTTGGAGGAGGAGAACAAATAAATGAGTTCCTTCCCGATATCTGCAGCAACCAGCTGAGCTCTGGGGGAGTGAGACTGGATGAGAGCAAGTGGCTTAATGAGGAGTCCAAGGCTGAGCAGCAGATTACACAGAATTTCCTGTTCTTGTCGTGGTTTAGGGGACAAGTGAGGGAGCAGGGGCACAGGGGGGGTGGGTGTGCCCTGCACCATCCAGCTCCACTCCCCTGAGCCTGGATCCTGTCTCCCAGGAGCTGGATTAAAGCCTGGCTGTCCTAAAGTTGTCTCCTGCTGGGCCAGTGGTGTCAAAGGAGGAGGATCCACACCCTTGAGAGCTCCTCCAGTGTTCACTTGCCCTCCCTGCTGGGAAGTTGCACTGTATTTTGGGACTTATCTGACCTGAACTTCCAGGCACTGAATCTTTTCGTGTCACTGTCAAAACCCTGGGAAGTCCCCTGTAACCCAGGACGTTTCCATGTTGGAGGTGTCTAGACATCTTGGGATCTCTTAAGCAACTCTTTGACAAACTGAACAAGCTGGGCTGAGTTAGGAGTTTTTCCAGCCCCCAGCTGAGTATATGGAATCCTTTGGAATGCTCCCTGGTGTGTCCCCTCCCTGTGTGGACACGCCAGATCTCCTGGAAAAGCTCTGCAAATGCAGAGCTGTGGTGAGCTCTGCACAAGGGCTCTCTGAGCCTCCCTGTAAAATGTTGGAGGGGGTTGGGTTTCTTCACATGAAGTCATGTAAATGTGGGTAAAAGAAGGAGGAAAATGGAAGGTAAGAGAGGCAGCAAATTCAAAGGGTCAGGGAAAACCCAGTTCCTGTCCCTGCTTGGATGAATGTTCACTTACTCCAGCATCTTTAGTCCTGTTGCAGTGGTGCTTTCTGAGGTAATCTCTCATGTTGTAAGTAGCTGTAATTTGCATTCCTGCTTCCCAGAGGTGTTATCTTGCATTTGGTTGCATCAGACTTCATTTTTGCACAGTGCTGTGCCCAGGCAGTGCAGATCAGGGTGAGCAGCTCGTGGTCAGGGGACCACGTGTGGCTGAGCAAAACACCCCTTGTGTTGTGTCATCCTTTCCAACCACGTAGGAATGTTTATCCTCCCGAATCCGTGCTTGGCCACATGGATCAGGGGGCCCTCGATTGGGGTAGACCCTGTTGACACCTGATAGGATGGGGTGAGAAAAATGTATTTAGTGGCTCTATAAGGGCCATGAATCCTGCCCCTGGTATCTGATCTCGTTTAACCTCCGGTGCAACCCGCCCTGTTCTCATCCTTACTTACTGTGTGACCTCCCTTTCTGCTGTCTATAAATGTTCCCAGCTAAGAGAATCACTCCAGCAAATGGTGGATAAAATGCTGAATGATGTGGCCAGAGAGCAGAGCATTGGAATTGATCTAAACTGCCTGGATGTCCCTGCTCATCCTGGAGCAAAAGCTTTTTGTGGATGTTTTCAGGCTAAGTGAGGCCATAAAGTTTTCAGGGTATCCCAGGCAGTGGCAGAGTGATTCAATCAGGCTCTCTTATCAGATTCTCACTTATCTTTCCTTTCCCTTCTCCAGCAGGGTAGGAAATGCCTTCTCTGAAAGGCTGGACTGGCACTACTGGGGTGGAGAGCTGCAGCCTTTAGCAGAGTAAGCAGATACCAGACTATGAGGTAACTTAAGAATTCAGCTGGTTAATTAAGCATATGGCCTCCAGATCCTTCCCAGCTCCAGCCCTGCACACCCTCATGCCTTGGGGCTCACCCCAGCATGGGAAATATGTGTTTTATGCACACAGGATTCTTCTCCATGGAGGATTTCCAAGGCACCAGCCTCTGAAATGCTCCTGGCTGCTGCTCTTCTTGGAGAGGAGTCAGTCCCTTGTCACCAGGGAGACATCTGCCAACCTGAGCCCACAGAGGGAGGCTGAGGGTAAGTCACTTCTTAAAAAGTCACCTTAACTGCCTTTTTGTCACTTGGGTCTGAATTATCTGGAGGAACAGAATAGCCTTGGCTAAGCTGGCTGTGGTCCCAGCCCTCGCCCTGCAAATCCTGAGTAACCCAGCCAAGGCAGAGCACAATCAAGCAGAAGGTCCCCTGCAGTCTGGGATGTCACTGGACCATGCAGAGGGATTAGCTTTTGTGCCATACTCAGGTTAACGCTTTGCAAACGCTATTTCCAGGCAAGAACTGATAGTTCCAAACAGGTTTAAATAAGTTTAAAGACTGGGGATGCATTCCTTAGGCTTTGGAGCGGATGGAGCAGGACAGTGGGGTCCTCAGAAGTGGATTTGAGATATGCAGTTGCCTTGTTGCTGTTCCTGTGTGGGGTACTGTGTGAGTGGGGGCAGTCACAGGGCTGTGCTGGCACCCTGGCTCCTCTTGAGGACCTTCCCATGTGCTCCTGGGTGCTGTGGGAGGGCATGAGCTGCTCTGGAGGTGGAGCTGGAGCGAGCAAAGCGCAGGAGGCGGATTGGGAAGCTTTGGGAAGCTGGGTTGCCAAATGTGTGGTGTCGATGGGGCCGCTGACATCTCCCTGCCAAAGGCAGCTGTGGGCAGGCAGCTGAGATTTCCCTCTTCTCCCTTCCTTTCCTTTCCCTGCACAGCTCCTGTTAAGCTCTCTTCACTACACTCACCCTGATGGTCCCTCCCTTGGTTTATGTCCTTCAAACTCTTCCCTTTAAACACTTAGTCATCACTTAGCTAAACTACTATATACAAATATAGCTCTTTTGATCTTCCTACGTAAATCAATACCTCCCGCCCTTTCATCTTTGTAGGGGCTTTCTCTGAGCTCTCTCCAATTTACCACCTGTCTTTAAAAGTGAGTTGTCTTTTCAGCCTGATTCCCCACAATTTTCAGATTTCCTGAAGCCCCAGCACCTGCAGGAAATCGTGGTGGCTCCTTGCCACCTCCATTTCCCTTCGAGTGGTACCAAGTGTTACGTGCAGAGCATCTCTTGTCTCCTTGGGCTGCTGTGGCTCTTCACAAGCCTTGTCAGCCTGTTCTGGAAGTGAACAGCGATGCAGCCCAAGCTCCTGTTCCCAGGGAAGGTCCTACAGGACACTGAAAACCAAGGCACAAGCCAGGCTGTGCCATTTTGGGGTGAAGGACGCTTGTCCCACTTGGGTTATAGAAAGGAATTCCTGCAGTAATCTCCTGGGCTGTGGAGATGGACCCAACATTGTCTGCAACAATTCAGCAAATGCCCAGAGGAGCTGTGGCTGCCCCAGCCCTGGAAGTCTCCAAGGCCAGGTTGGTCAGGGCTTGGAGCAACCTGGGCTAGTGGAAGGTGTCCCTGCCCCTGGCACGGGGTGGGGGGAGGCTTTAAAATCCCTCCCAACCCCAACTGTTTTGGGATTCTGTGAAATATGTGACATGAGTACAAGGACCAAGATGAGTGAAGAGAAATGAGCTGCAGGGAGCAGCTGTTTGTCCCTTCAGGGTGGGTAACTGGGCATCCCCCCCTGAGCCCCAGGGGATAACTGGGCATCCCACCCTGAGCCACAGGGGATAACTGGGCATCCCACCCTGAGCCACGTGGGGTAAGTGGGCATCCCTTCCTGAGCCACAGGGGATAACTGGGCATCCCACCCTAAGCCCCAGGGGATAACTGGGCATCCCCCCCTGAGCCACGTGGGGTAAGTGGGCATCCCTTCCTGAGCCACAGGGGATAACTGGACATCCCTTCCTGAGCCACAGAGGGTAACTGGGCATCCCCCCCCTGAGCCACAGGGGATAACTGGGCATCCCCCCCTGAGCCACAGGGGATAACTGGGCATCCCCCCCTGAGCCACAGGGGATAACTGGGCATCCCCCCCTGAGCCACAGGGGATAACTGGGCATCCCACTCTGAGCCATAGAGGGTAACTGGCATCCCCCCCGCCGAGTGAGGCACTGGGGCACCCTCAGCCATGGCTGGTGGGGTCAAATCTCAGGCTCAGCAGGGAGCCAGGCCTGGGACACGTGGGGTGGGATGCACTTGTCAGGGATGGATGGATGGGCTCCTGTCACTGCTTGGCTGGAGCCATGGGAGCAGCAGGAGTGTCCTGCTGATGTACAGTGGGAGGTGATCCCGTGCCTTGATTTAGTGTGGGTGTCACACACTGAGCCCGGCTCACACTTCATCCCAAGTGTTTAGTCCCTTGCTTATGTTACATTTGGTAAATAAAACTGTCAGTGAAACAGTCTTGAGCATGTGACCGTGGCTTTAGGGCAAGAATTAAGGCTCTCTGTAGGGCTGGAAGAGACCATTGCACAATTTCTCCAGTTACCCTGGGACCATTCCACCCCTGGACTGGGAACAGTGGGAAAGTCATTAAAGCTATTACAGTAAAAAGTCTTTCCCCCCCACACCCTCCTTTTAAATGAAAGGTTTATAATAGCAATAAACCCTTGATTTTAACATCTCCTTATGGGTCAAATCAAAGCTGGTCAGAGAATGAGACAGGGAATCTCACCACTCTGCTCATCCCCTCTGGATAAATGAAGTAGTGCTGCCATGGGCCATATAGCTTAATTAGTCCCTATTCACTGCTGTTCCTTAAAAACCTCCTTTGCAAAGCCTGGGCAGCCTGTCCATGTCATATTTCCTGCGTTCTCAGAGGTGTTAATGAATTCATTAATCACTTAATGGCAAGGAGGGTCTTTAGGGACTGGCGTCGCAATTTACTGCTCCCAGGAGGAAAACTCTCTGTTGCTGATCTAAAGTTTCAGCTCCACTAATTTGTGCCAGCAGAGCTGCTGAGCTCCTTCCTGCAGTCCTTGGAGTCCACGCGGACCTCCAGCATCGTGGAAGAGCACGGAGTGACGGGGGTGGGAATTTGCTGGGTGAGGTCTTGTGCTGAATGATGGAGGTTTCAGAGGCTGATCAGGGCAAAGGAAACCTCTCCACACCCTCTTTCTTGTGTTCTTTTTTTTATTTTCTCCTCACTGGGACAAGCTTCCTGAAAAACCACTGCGAAAGTTCCTCTGTGTGCTGGGCTTGGAAATGCATCCCAAGCCTTTCTGGCTTACAGGAAACAGAGACTCTGGCAGTGTGGCTGTGTAATGTGGCCTGGGACTGCAGGCTAGGCCGTGAAATGAGCCTGTGAATCTTTTCTAATTGAAGAATGTCAGGGTGATGTATTTTGACTGGAACTGTCGGTTCAGATGTGAGTTTGAGCGTTTGCATTTCTGTTCCGCGGGAAATGTTGATTATTTCAGTCTCTCGCCCTCGGAGCGGGAGAGCGGCGGGTGCCAAAGTTCCCCACAAAATGGCTCTGCTGGCTTCTTCCTAATCACAGGGAGAGGAGGAGGTGAACAGAGCCCTCCTCTCTGCTAATTCCCTTCCACCAGCCTGTCATCACTTTGCAGTTGCACCTTTTTGAAGGATTTTTTTCTCACTGCTTTTCTGTTCTCCCGTGTAACTTCTGCTCCAGTTTCTCTTTCCATCTTTGCCCTCAGTCTGTTGCTTTCCCAGACTGAGAGCCCAGGGAAGGAGAGTGTGTCAGGAAAGGGGTAGCAGGGCAGGCAGAGCTGGTGGCTGCCCATGTGCAGGCCTTTGCTGCCCGTCCCTGCCATCCTCCTGGGATTCGCTCCCCAGGGTGCTGTCCTTCGCTCGGCAGCTCTTGTTAAGGACATGTAGATGAAGGGCAGGAGAGGAGCTCCATGTTGGCCTGGGAGAGGAGAAAGGAGGGAGAAAAAGCAGGAATGTAAAACCACTTCATTGGAGAAAACACAAAGGGAGGCAATTTCACTAAATGCCAGATGGTCAAACCGAAGCAGAGCCATGTAGAGCCCTCCATGTCCAACTGTTTGCTTTGGCAGGGAGCCGTGGCTGTTCAGTGAGAGTCTCCCAGGCACCCTCTTCTCCTCCTTGGCTTTCCTCAGCCCCTTTCATAGAATCAGCTGGGTTGGAAGGGACCTCCGAGATCTTCAAGTCCAACCCTTGATCCACTACCCCTGTGGTTCCCAGCCCATGGCACTGATGCCACATCCAGTCTGTCCTTAAACACCTCCAGGGACGGAGAATCCACCACTTCCCTGGGCAGCCCATTCCAATGGCTGATCACCCTCTCTGTGAAGAAATTCTTTCTGACATCTAACCTAAACCTCCCCTGGCACAGCTTAAGATTGAGCCCTCTTGTCTTGCTGAGAGTTGCCTGGGAAAAGAGACCAACCCCCAGCTGGCTCCCCCCTCCTGTCAGGGAGTTGTAGAGAGTGAGGAGGTCTCCCCTGAGCCTCCTCTTCTCCAGGCTGAACAGCCCCAGCTCCCTCAGCCTCTCCTCACAGCACTTGTGTTCCAGTCCCTTCCCCAGCCTTGTTGCTCTTCCCTGGCCCTGCTCCAGCCCCTCCATGTCCTTCCTGAGCTGAGGGCCCAGAACTGGACACAGCACTCCAGGTGTGGCCCCACCAGTGCTGAGTCCAGGGGAAGAATCACTTCCCTGCTCCTGCTGCCACACTGTCCCTGATCCAGGCCAGGATCCATTGGCCTTCTTGGCCACCTGGGCACACTCTGGCTCCTGTTCAGCTTCCTGTCAATCCAAACTCCCAGGTCCCTTCCTGCTGGCTGCTCTCCAGCCACTCTGTCCCAGCCTGTGGGGCTGCCGGGGGTTGTTGTGGCCAAAGTGCAGGACCCAACACTTGGCACTTGCTCCTCCTCTGGACCCCTCCTCTTTCTCCATCCTCCTGCTGCTCCCTTGGATATCTTTCCTGGCCTCTCATCTCCTGTTGCTACCTGGGATCCTGCTGCACCTCAATTGCTGACATGATTAAGAGCAAAGATTGAGCAAGGAACCACCTGGGCAACCACCCTTCTCCTACCAGCATGGGATGTCCCTGTCCCACAGCAGGCTTGTTGAACATGGGAGCTGGATGCATGGAAACCTTTTGTTCAAAGGCATTCTTATTCATATGAATAGATATCTATGTCTTGAGGAGCCACACGTATCCATTTGTTATTTAATGAGTGTCTCTTTTATAGTTATTGTTATTCCTGTTATTAAATCTGAATTTTCCTGTGCTGAAAACACTGCCAGGGTTACCTGTGGAGCTGCACTGTCAGCTCCAGGAAGGTAAAGATGATGGGAGTTTTCGTGCTTTTCTTTCTTGGGCAGTGTCCATTTAGAGGTTATTTTTCTCCCTGTTGGCTTTGATAAAATTCCGGATAACAAGTGGTCAAGATGGAGAATTAAAGAACAGCATAATAAGTATTTTAAAATCTTTACAAACCAGTGACTGTGGAAAAGGCAGCTGAGCTTTCCTGGGTTTGTACTGACATATATGCTTATTACCAGCTATTCTTGCTCAAATTTGAAAATACAGGTTGTTTGCAGGTTGTTTTCTGGGTTTAAATGGTAGAGTTCTATGGAATAGGTACAGGCAGAGTGCTGATCCGGAATGACTGGATCCCATTTCTGAGGAATTGAACTCATGCTGGCAGCACTGCTCCTAACAAGGCTCAGAGGGAGAGTGCAGACTTGGGTGGAGGCAGTGGAATGCTGGAAGCCTGAGCAGGGCAGGAGGTTTGTATTTCCCTTTGTGCAAATTCAATCAGAGCTTAAGCATCCCAGAGATTAAGGGGTGGCAGGAAGGCCACTACCAACACAGCACTGGCAGTTCTGGGCTTGTCCTTCCCATGAAGGAACGTTGATGACCTTGGAGGTCTTTCCAGTCTGATGATTCTATGAGTACAAACTTCATCCTCCCTTCCCTGGGAGCTTTATGGTATGGTTTGGCTGGAAAGGCAGCAGGATCCTTGCAGGCAGAGGACCCATAACTCAGGGGGAACTTGGAATTGTTCAACTTGGGCATCACCACAGGAGATGTTGCTCCAGACAGAGCAATCAGGAGGGACTTTGTTCAGCACAGGGAGATGCAGCTCCCAACGGGCTCCCCTGTGTGTGAGGGTGTGCTCTCTGCATTCCAAACATTTATTACCCTAAACTGCCTCCTGTGCATTTTACAACAGTTAGGACCAGAGTTTGCCTTGTTGTCTCCACAGTTCCCAACGGGAATGCCAGCATTACTCCAGTCATTAGCAAGATGCAGGTTGTTGTCTGGAGCTGCTGGCTGTGGGATTGCTGTTGGGAGGAGGCTCCTGCTCTCCAACCTCCCACGCTCCATCCTTCTTCCAGGGGGATGTTGTTGTGCTCAGCAGGGTTGAACCTGACGGGGAGAAGAGGGAATGGAGGTTACGGAGAGACTCGTTTTGAGGGAGTGCTGGTGGGTGGCAGGTCAGCAGGGGGGACTCAGGGATGCTGCTCATGGCAACATCCCTGGAAATCAGAGCAAAACAGCCACTTCCCTGCATTCCTTCTGTGCTCCGTGTGTCTCAGCTCTGCTCCTGGCAGTCCAGCCTGATGCCTCTCCCCTTAAATCCATCTTGCTTGGACCTGAAGAGATGCTTTTCCTCTGGTGCTGGAGATCCGTGGATGAAGGGGGAAAGGCTGGAATTCAGCTGGCAGCTGCTGTTAATGCAGCCCTGTGCAGCCCTGGTGGTACCAGCTAGCAGGGATTCGGGATCCACTGGTGTCCTGGGACAGGCTCGGGCTCGAGGGATTGGGATTTTCACAAAGTAAGAACAGAAAAATTCTGACTGCAACACTCAAATCTGCTGCCTTAAAAAATGAAAGACACTAACTAATACCACAGAAACTAATTTGAAGGAACTGTGACCTGAAAAGTGACAAAGGGACTTTTCTCTTTTATTTCTGGACTCTTGTTGAAGAAAAAGAGAGATTTGATGTAATGTAAATATATTATTTCACCGTAGAAGGATAGTTAAGTTGTTACGTATATATATATATATATGCATGTAAATAAACCTCGTAAGTATTTTTCCCCTTCCCCCAATGCTGAGTAGCTGTGTTTTGTCTGAAAACCCTCTCACACTGAAGCAAATTGTGGGAGGGGGGGCTTGGATTGGGAAATTGGATTTTTGAGGGGTCTCAAACCACCACAACTGGGTCTCTCCCATTCCCTGCACAGTGATGCCCATCTCAGCATCTGGAAGCTCCAGCAGAGATTCTGGACCCGCTGGGTCTCCCCTGACAAACAAACCACAAAAAAAGATGGATGGGTAGATTATGTTTTTCCACAAGAGTATTTTTTTTAACGTGCCATCCCCTCCCAGCCTTTGGCAACCCTGACACACTTGGAAATTCCTTTGGATTTCCCACATTTCAGGGGTGCAGCAAAGGTACAGCAAATAGTTTGACTATGGGATATGGGAGGGAAGTTTTGCTCCCCAAAACAACCTGCCCTCTGTTCACCTTTCCTAAGGAAAGTTCTGAACTTCACATTTCAAACCTCACATGCGTTTTTCTGGAAATTTTACCAAACTCTTTACGGATCTGGAGACCAAATGAAGTGTTTTTGTTGAAGTTCAGTAATAGGTTTCATTCAAACCTAAGTGATTGTTTTTCTCATTATAGTAAAAAGGAAAAAAGAGAAAAATATTTCTTAATTTTTCCGTTTTCCTTCAGTTTTTGAACTTTTGGGGAACCAGAACTGTTAAGTCTCCGTCTCACTGAGGGATTCCAGAAGGAAAGACTTAATGGCTTGGAATATAAACACAATAGTCACAAAAACAGAGGAAAGTAAGAAACAAGCTTTGTTTGTTTGGCTTTTTTCCCCCCAAAACATTGGTCTTTTGCACCAGGGTGCAGGAATTGCCACATTCTCCCATGTTTCCTTCTCACAAGGTTTGGTTTCTCAGTGTTTAAAACAAATTTACACCCTTGCAGGACAACCACGTCCTCGGTACTTTTTAACTCCAGCTTCACATTGGTTGCCCTTGTTTTTTACAGGAAGCTGGGGAAAAATTATTTATGGGCATATTTGCCTCCTTTCTAAATGCAAATTCTTAATTCAAGTGAAGATGTATAATTGTTTCCTGATATTAGGTATTTTTAGGTGTGCTCCCATCTGAATGCTACGAGCAGGCCTTTTTCCATTACCCTTTGGAAAGAAAAACAAATTTCAATGGGATCGTATTTGTTGAATACTGATGAAAGGAACTGAACAGAATTTAAAATTTACATGGGGAATAAGGTATAAAATGTGACCTACTGAGTTAAAGTATTTGCTGTATCTTAGCAGACTATCATCATCATTAAATTGTAGCCGTGATAAAATATAACTCGTAATGCAGGGGATAGAATAATGTCTTTTATAATGAAAAGTGCATTTCCTGTCTTCTACCAAACTTGGAACACAGCAGAAGTAATAATAGACACATATAATGAATGACCCCAACCTGTGTGTATCCAATTATCCCACCGTGTGATACTTAAAAGTTATTAAGGGTTGTCTTTGAATCTTGAGTAAAGTCAAAAGAAAAGGTGATCTCTGGGGTAGTCAGACTGTCCCTGGAGCTGATGCTGCAGAGATTTGGGTGATCCCACAGCCCAGATTCACAAACTGTTGGCCCAGACCCTCAAGTTCTTCTGGTTTGTGACATTTAGAGGAGAAGATCCTGTTCCTTGGGATTTGTGGTTCCCATCCAGAAAACCCGTCCTGCCCTGTTCCACCCTTCAGGGTGTAACCCAAAGTGGGTTGTGAAGCCTCACAGCTGGATTTGGGAATGCTGCTGATCCTGTGTTATTATTAACTCCCAGAACGCTGATCCCACAGATCCTGTGACCACAGTGCCCAGAGATCAGGCATTTTCTGATGGCTGAAACTCAGATTGAGACGGTGACAGGGATGGGAAGTGGGGAAAACAGGGAGACTGGGAATGATACCCACAGCTTGGAATGAGGGCTGCCTAGATCTCTAGGAAGGAGGGCTGGTTGGAGCGAAGGCAGCAACCTGCAGTGCCCTGATGATGCATTTCAGCCTTCAGAAAGCTCTAATTGATCTTTGGGGCAACAAGCCCAGCTCCTGAATTGGATAAACCTATCTATAAATCCAATAATCTCTCCTGGACTGTGCTGGGGTGACCTTGGCTGGATTGGTGCCCACCAAAGCTGCTCCATCACTCCTCTCCTCAACTGCAGGGAAAACAGAAAGTCTTGTGGGCTGAGGTAAGGGCAGGGAGATCACTCACCAGGTATCATCATGGGCAAAACAGGCTCAACCTGGGGAAAGTAATTGAATTAACTACCATTCCAATCAACCCCAAGTGCTTGAAAGGAGACAAGACCGCTGTTTTTTTGGCAGCATTTATGTCCTGGGGACCCTCCACTGCTGTCCTGCATATCCTCTGGGATGGAACACATGGTCCACGGCCTGGGAACATCTGAGCAGACCCTCTGAGGAGGTTGGACTTGGTGACTTCGGTGTCCTGTGCTAACCCAGGATCCTCCTGCTCCCACCAAAGCACCAGCAGCAGCGTTGCAGTGACCAGAGAGCATCACATCTGCATTCACCTCTGCTCAGAGGTAAGGAATGGTGCTAAATTCAACAGGACAAGGAGGGCAGGAGAAGCAGAGGGATAAAAACTGGGGCTGAGCAGCTGGGACTTGCTGCTGCTCTGGGCTCTGCCGAGTCCCTCCGTGGGGGATGTTCTGCAGTTTGTCTCAGCACGCCCAGAGGCCTTTAAGTGAGAGGCTGTGGTTTACAGAGTCAACAGATTTCAGCAGGCTCCCAATATTAATTATTAATTACTCCTGGAGAGCGCCATACATTAGATTGGTGGAGCAGTTGCCAGCCCTGCCTCTCCTCCCCGCAGACACGCTCTCGCTGTCAGACTCCTCTCCCCGACCCAGACCCCGGCGCTAGAATTAGGCCAGAAACTATTTTCCAGTCGAGTGGCTTTTAATGGGCTCTCCAGACGTGTTCTCTGCATCCTGTGAGTGACTGGATCTGTGGAGAGCAGAGTCACTGGGATTGATTCATTCTCTAAGAAGTATTAGGGTTTTAACTAAGTGGGGCTTGGTGTTGCTGGAGGTTGTATCTCATTCTCCAGAAACAGCCACTAATTACCCACAACACAGGGCAAGGGGCTGCTCTGGAGAAGCCCATTTGCAGGACTCCTGAGGGAAGCTGTTTTTCTGATGAAAGGCACGGTGCTGACCTTTAATGGGTGATCTCTTGTAGAGAAAGTATCTTACCCAGGGCTCCTGGGAGTGTCTCACCCACCTCAGCTGTGGCAGGATGAATGAAGTGGTGTTTGGTGATGAAAGGGAAGGTTTGGGGGTGGTTCCATATCCCAGCTCTCTGCAGGTGTTCAGAAGGTGTGTGAATGTCGCTTTTAAAGCCATTGAGGTGCCACTTTTTTCCTGGGCTGTCCCACCCTGTTTTTATTTCACCACCTCCTCCCTCAAGGTCACCCACATCTTCTTGGGATCTGAGGTTTTGTCCGTGTGAAGGGACTTGCCACGGGACAGGAGTGCTTTGAGGGAAGGCACTTTGGGATGACATTGGGAGGTCTCCTGCTGAGCTGAGCCAGCACAGCTCTGCTGGCTTCAAGTGTCTGGCTGAGTCTGGGCTGGTGTTGTCTTACAGCAGCGGATGGAAAAGACACTCCAAAATCAGAAGTCAGCCAGCAGAAAGCTTTGAGTCTTCCCTGGTGGCCTCATCACATGCTGTGTGAGGAGCTCAGAGCTGCTCCCCAGTTCCCCCTTCCTTCCTTCCTTCCCCCGTGATTTGGTTGCACATCTCAGAGCGGTGGCCACGGAGCTGGAGGCTGAGCAAAGCTCCGTGTGTGGGAGCCAACAAAAAGATGAGCCACGAGCCTCCGGGCTGATCCAGCTCCCTGTTGACTCCAACTCTTGAACTGCCCGGCTTCCTCCACCTCCCGGGATAGAAATTTGGGATAAAGCACGGCCCTCATTACGGGAACCGCTCAAGCAGCAACAAAAAGGGCAGTGGCGAGGAGGCTCGGGAGCTCCTTGTGCCAGAGGAAGGAATATTGTGATCTCCTCTCGGCTGCCTTGTTTCCAAACACCTCACACGCTTTGTTCGTGCGCTGGATTAAGTAGCCTGCAGAATTTAATTCCTCTGGGAAAAAAACCCAAACAAAACAGGCTCCCCACCCCCAAAGTGCAGCGATGCCGTAATTGGGCTGTGACAAAGCCGAACGTCTCCCGAGCCGGGAGCGGGGGGAGGTTGTTTGGAATTCTGCATCCTGAGAGCCGCGGCGATCCCGTGTCTAGGCAGACGGTTTGGCAGGGAAAGTCACAGCTGGGTGATTCCAGCTCCCCCAAGCCGGGGCTTTTCGAGGGAAAACGCTGACAGATCCGCAGCGAGAGCGAGCAGGACTCTCATAATTTATTTTTAATGCCACGCCGTCTTTAACTGTGCAATTTCCTCCAGGGTGTTTGCTTTGAGCTCGCGGGATAATTACATCTGAGAAACCAGGCTAATTACAGTTAACAGCCTGAAAAAGCGAAGGCCCCCGCTTCCCCACCGCCCCCATCCAGGTTTTTCCACCGCCGTTCCCCGCGACAGCCCCTTTTCCACGGAGGAAGTCGGTTTGTCCCGGCGCTGGGACGGTCCCTTCCCGTCCCGGCCCCGCGGAGGTGACGCCCCAGTGATTTGTGTTGGGTGGGGACGTGGCAGCCCCTGCCAGGGTCGTGATGGGGCACCCGACAGCGGGCAGGTCGCCAGCGGTGCAGAGGGCAGGCTGGTGGCCCGTGGCCAGGGTGGCACTGCCCTCGGGGGGTGGACCAGCCTGCTCAGCCGGGAGAGGTTGCCCTGGTGAGGAAAGATGTTTTCCTCAACCAAACGGGAAAAAAATCCTCAATTTCCCAAGCTTTTCATGACCCAGGTCCAACAGTGGGGTGGCAGAGCATCGGGGCAGCTGCCCGGGGAGGGCACAGAGTTTCCTTCTCTGGAGACCTCAGTGCAGTTCCAACTGCCTGGGCAGGGGCAGAGGAGGGGCAGGGACTGAGCTCTGCTCTGGGGGGACCAGGGACAGCACCCAGGGAATGGTTGGAGCTGTGCCAGGGCAGGCTCAGGTTGGATCTCAGGGAAAGGTTCTTCCCTCAGAGGCTGGTTGGGCACTGCCCAGGCTCCCCAGGGCAGTGGGCACAGCCCCAAGGCTGCCAGAGCTCCAGGAGTGTTTGGCTGATCCTCTGGGGCACAGGGGGTGACTCTTTGGGGTGTTCCTGTGCAGGGCTGAGGGTTGGACTGGATGGTCCTGGTGGGTCCTTCCAACTCAGCACACTGTGATTTCAAACCCACCTGAATGTGTTCCTCTGTGTCACCTGTTCCAGGTGACCCTGCCTTGGCAGGGGGGTTGGACTGGATGATCTCCAGAGGTCCCTTCCAACCCCAGCCACTCTGGGATTCTGTGGCTGCAATGAATGCAGGTAACTGGGGAACACGTTTTCTCCTTCCAGTTCATCCCTTCCCATCATCACCTGCAATTATTCTGTGACATGCAGGACATGAAGTGCACGTTGGCATTCCCTTGGCATGGGATTGAAGCCAGGATCCTATTGCCTGGCCTTCCCATGGAAAGAGGCTTCCCTCTCCTGCCTCCACGCTGCTTATTCTGCATTTAATATAGGCATTTGTTTTCGGTGGTGGTGGGGTTGTAAGTGTGGTTAGCTATGGCTTTTACAGGATAATTAATGCCTTTCTTAGTCCAAAAATCCTTTCTCCCCAAAAAATCCAACCCAAACCTGACAAGTGTGTGGGCTTGGATTCTTGGGAGACAGGAGCAGCCTCTGCATCCAAGAAGTGTCCTTGTTTCTGTCTCTATCAGATGCTCTAAGAAAAGCTCCCAATGTTTCCTACAGGCCTTCCTGCCTTAATTGAGGAGTTTGGACTGGGATGAGGAGCCCACTGGGCTACAGGAACACGGCTGGGTGGGAGGGATGGGAATTCTGACTGAGGCAGCACAGTCAGAGCTCCCAAGGCCTGATGTGCTTTCCCCAGAAGCCCAGGGGTGACAGGCTGTGGTCCAGGTCCTCGTGGGGTTTCTGCAGGGCTTGGCTCTCCTTGCTGAGGCTGAGCTGCCCCCAGTCCCCCCCCCAGCACAGCCCATGCTCCCCCAGGAATCACTCTGGGAGCTGCAAAGGCTCATCCTGCCTTGAATGTCGCCTTGCTGTGACACAGTGTGGTTGCCAAGCTCTGTAGAGAACAAAATCCAAGAGCTCTGAAGCAAAGCAGCCCCCCCTGTGACCCCCAGCAGCCCTGGATGCTGCCTGGCACTGTATCCATGCATTTGCTCTCCGTGGTTTTTACCCGATCCAGCCCCTAATTCTCGCAGTCTTGAAAAATAATTCATTTTCTCTTGTGGGATTCCAGTTCAAGGATTAATTTAATGATTTCTTTTTCTTTCCCATTGTTTGTTTTTAATGATCAAGGTGATAGTTCTAAATTGTTAACAAGTTCTAGTGGAAATGGGATCCCTGGGAACTTCTTTTACGCTGAGTAAAATAACAGTGAGATTGATTTAGCAAAGCCAGTTGAGTTGCTGTGTCTTCAAAGATTATCTTGGTTCTGCATGAAAGGCCAAATTTTTGAGCAGTATTCAGGCCTAACTGAAATCAGGTGCTTAAGCACCTTCAAAATAAGAGAAGCTTCTGTCTGTAGGGAGTGATAATATTGTCTGTTAAATCAGGTAATGTATTAGAACTCACTTTTTTTTTTTGGCTGGGTAATTTTTTCAGGTGGATCATTTCCTCTGGCAAACCGCTGAGCTGGCACAGAGGGATTATTTTAGGAAAAAAGCCCTTTCTCTCTGCTGGGAACGGCCCATTTCCCTGGAGACCACTGGGGCTGGTGAGGGTGGATGCTCTGCTGGTGACATCTCCGTGGGGCTCTTGGTCTGAGGGCCGTGACTTTGCACAGAGGCAGAACTCGTGGGGTTGCTGGGGCTCATTTTGCTTCCCACTCCTTCTGCTCAGTGTTTGCTGATGTACAAAGCATTTACTCCTGGCAATTATTCTGATGAGCAGGGGGTTGTGTGAAAACTGCAAACGGAGCTTTCTGGGGAAATGTCTTCAAAGGATGATCTCCTTTCGATGGAGCTTGTAATTGTTTAATGATTTTCTATATGGATTTCCGTGTGGGCTGCAGGACAGGCAGGGCTGGTTTGTCAGCAGAGAGCATCTGCTCGTGCTTCACCCTCTTGTCCCAGAGGCTGGGCAGCTGCTTTCTGAGCACGAGTGGAGATTTCTGATTTCTATCTCCCTTGGTTGTACTGCTCTGTCTCAGACTCAAACCTCAGACTTATCATGTTTTTTTACCAATTGACTCAGCTGTCTGTCCCAGCACCCCTTGGCTCTGACATGCTCTGTCTGCAGGGCTGTGGAGATGCTGCTTTACAACCAAAACAGGGCTGGGGCAGGACCACCAGGACCCCAGGTCCTGCTCTCTTCTAATGCAGCCCCTGAAAAAACAACTCATCCCTTTCCCAGGCTGCAAAACCATTCCTGTTGCATTGCCTTTCCCCCTAATTGCTTGGACAGCCAGGAGCCTTATTCTA